TATAGTATTAAGCTACCTCACTTTTTTATAGTATACTCAATACTCATTTCCTTTTAAACATTGAAATATTCTTGCTTTTAACCCCCAACATGTGCTTTTAAGACATAAACATGAAGTATACAGTAGAAAGAAACTAGGTATGCAAAAGATAAGGTAAAAAATTTGTACATATTACAAAAAAATTTTTAAAAAGACAGTTTCTGTTGGAAACATATAAATCTGATACTGTATGAAAGATAACACACAGACTGTTTTTAAAAGAGCATTGGAACAACTACCCCAAATTTTTTGGCTTTTACAAACTTCCTTTTGATTTCCCAGAGTCTGGGAGGAAGGGGGGGGCATACGGAGACGGGGTGGCCGAACATGTTTCCGTTTTGTTTTCTCTGCCGGGTTGAGTCCCCGTGGTGACCTTGATGACGTAACCCCTGATGTTGTCATCTGTAAGAAAAAATGATAACTAGAGCAATATTAATAATAATTTAATAAAAAATTTAATAATAATAAAATAATAATAATAATAAAAATTTTTTTTTTTTATCACAGGGGATTCCACCAGGAGGGGGCCCCGGAAAAAGAAAAACTTTCCCCACTTCGCCCCATCAGTCTTGCCGAAGGGTGCTTTACACTCAGTTTTTAAATGCAACTTTAAACCCCCTCCTTCAATGCAGGCACTGTACTTCCCATCCCCCAGGACTAAAGTCCGGCCTGCCGGTTTCCTAAACCCCTTTCAAAAATGTTCTTTGTCAACCCCAAACACACGTCAAGTATTAATAACCTTTTTGTCCCCCATTAAACCCTATCAAACACGCTCCTTGCCTGCGGGGAAGTCCAAGCCCCTCGCACACAAAACCCTTTTCCCCCCCTCCCCCAACCTTTCCTGGGCCGCCCCCTCCCCCGCCTTCCTTCCACTACAGACTGATACACTCTTGAAGCTTTTGTTTCGCTCCATTCTTTACATGTCCGAACCACTCAAAAACCCTTCCAGCCTTTTGGACAAAAAGTTTTTGGTAATCCCGCACCTCCTCCTAACTTCCAAACCGAATTCTCTGCAATATTTACACCCAATTGCCTCAGCATGACATTCCCCTGCCCCAGCCTTCTCCTGCTGCAACATTTTATACCCATGCTTCACACCCCCTAAAGAGCTTTTGGTAAAACTATACTCTATCATTCCCCCCCTTTTCCTCCAAGGCAAAAATTTTTTGCCCACAGATCCTAAGTGCACCATCCTTTTTTCCCTCACAAAATTCTATGATTCACCTCATCTTTCATGACCCATCGCTGAACTCCACTCCCAAATTTTTAAATACGTTCACCCCTCCAACTCTCTCCTCCAATCTGTATTCAATCTTTCATCCCCTAATTTTTTTGTTATCCTCATAACCCTTACTTTTTCCCTTTTTTCCCTTTTAAATTTTTCTTCTTTCACACCCTCCAAATTCATCCACCAATTCTGCAATTCTCTTCAGAATCCCCCAAAGCACAGTGTATCAGCAAAGGCAGCTGGAAAACTCCCATTTTGTGTGATTCTTTATTTTTTAAAACTCCACGTCTTCCAAGACCCCCGCATTTCTTCTTTTAAAACCCCCCATCTTAAATATATTAAATAACCGGGACATCTACACCTTGTCTAAGGGCCTAATTTTACGGGGGAAAAAATTTTCCCCTTTTTTTCCTACATACTCAAATTTTGGCCTCACTATCCCGTAAAAACCCTTTATGCTTTTTAACCCACCCCTCACCCCTTTACATCTGCCCATTGCCCCCCCATCCACCCTGTCATACCCTTTTTTCCCAAAACCATAAATGCCCAAAAACTCTTAGCCTTATTAATACTGTTACTTATATTTCATGTAAACCTGGTCCAACACCCTACTTTTCCTAAAACCCCTTTTATCTGTTCCTATTTTCCCTCTTACCTTAATTCTTTCAATTGTAACTCTACCAACACTTTACCGGTATTCCCAAAAACTTTTCCCCCTATAATTTTGCACTCTTTTATCCCTTTGCCCTTTTTACAAAAGGAAAAATTGCATGCTCTCCCAATCCCCAGGTACCTTACCCTCTTTCCCTACATTTATTAATAATTGTACCAAACCCCCAAAAAATTTACCCCCCCTGCTTTTAACATTTCTTCTTTATCCCTCAATCCCAGTGCTTACCCCTTTCTTTTTACCCACTGCCCCAGACTTCCCCCCCACTCACAAAGGGGTCTTCCCACTCCCACAAAATGTTATTCCTCCTTTCCCCATACAGAAAACCAGCTTCCCCATCTTCATCAACATTTTAACAATTCCTCAAAAAATTCCCCCCATCTTCCCCCAATACCTCTAAAATCCCTTTAATAACCCCTCTCCCATTTTTAACTGACAAATCCATTTGTTCTCTGGGTTTTTTTTTAACTTTTTAAATTTACTCCAAAAATTTTTCTTATTTTCAACAAAAATTTGTTGAAACACTCACCCACTCTTTTTTCTCTCTTTTTCATTCTTCACCACTCCCCTTTTAAACCCCTCCTTTTTCTCCATATCTCTTCCCCTTGCATCACTTTCTTTGTAAAAAAATTTTCAATGCTAAATTTTTCTCCTTTACTACTCTCTTTACTCCTTTCCCCCAATCGCCCCTTTCTCCTGCACCCCTTTCCTGTAACACAAACTTTTTAAAAACCAACACTAATTTTTTAAAAAACCTACCCAACCTTCGACCCCCCTTGCCTATGCTTCATTCCCCTCTATCCTCCAAGCTGTTTTATTTACCCCCCAACTGCCTCCTCTTTTAGTTTTTAAACCTTACCTCCTCTTTCCCCGAGCTTCTATTCTCC